TCTGTTTTGGTACTCACACCCCGAATCTTTGGATGTGTGGCTTTCGTTCATCTCCACAAAAATCAACGTAGCAAACTTGATCCATGTGCGCTTCGTTGTGTTTTTGTGGGTTATGTCACTCATCAGAAAGACTACCGTTGTTATCACCCTCCTATCCGACGTACCTATGTCACTTTAGATGTGACCTTTCTGGAATCTGAGCTGTTCTTCCATGACCCATCATCCAATTCTACGCTTCAGGGGGAGATACGAAATGAAGAGCAGAATTGGAGCAACTTGGAAAACGAAGAAATTCTCCTATGTACAGAAATAATTGATCATCCCGAGTCTGGAGCACAAGATTACTCTCTGCCGAAAAGCGACCAATCGCCCATTCATAGCGATCAATTACCTGACCCACCTGATCCATACGAAGATATTTCTGATCCGAGTCTCACACCTACAGACAATACAGAACAACAAGATGAAGACCCCCCATCTGACTCAATAGTACCAACAGACCAATCTCCTGAGAATATCCTTGAGGTAAGTACTCCTACTAGACTTGTGCATTTAGAGGATAAAACTATTGGATATCAATTACCTTTCAGGCAAAATCGTGGGAAGCCACCAAATCGCTATTCACCTGATATTAGCAAGACATCCAAGTATCCAATTGCAAATCATGTATCTACTGAGAAGCTGTCTGAACCACTCAAGGCTTTTGTGCATCAGTTGTCTGCTATCCATATTCCAACCAAGGTCTCTGAAGCATTGAAAGATCCTAAGTGGGTCCAAGCTATAAAAGAGGAGATGAAAGCTCTTGAGAAAAATCAGACTTGGACATTGGAGACTATACCACGAGAAAAAAAGACTATCGGATGTAGATGGGTGTTTACTATAAAACACAATGCAGATGGATCTATCGAGCGATACAAGGCAAGACTTGTGGCAAAAGGGTACACACAGACCTATGGTATAGACTATGAAGAAACCTTTGCTCCAGTTGCAAAGTTAAACACCGTCAGAGTCTTATTGTCCCTTGCAGCTAATTTGGATTGGCCACTACACCAGTTTGATGTAAAGAATGCTTTTCTACATGGCGAACTCACGGAGGAGGTGTACATGGACATTCCTCCTGGTTATAATACTACTCAGACTGGAACAGTTTGCAGGCTACGAAAAGCATTGTATGGGTTGAAACAGTCACCACGTGCATGGTTTGGACGGTTCACCATGGCAATGAAGAACAATGGTTTCAAACAGTGCAACTCAGATCATACTTTGTTCTTGAAACATCGGAAAGGGAAGGTAACAACATTAATAATTTATGTTGATGATATGATTATTACTGGGAATGATAAACAGGAAATATCACAGCTACAAGACTATCTGGCTACAGAGTTTGAGATGAAGGATCTAGGTGGACTCAAGTATTTCTTGGGAATTGAGGTGGCTCGATCGCA